CCGCCGTCTGTAGAAAGCCATGTTCGCTACATTTTCACACCCCAACCCTAGTGACAACGATTCTGATCTTATGCATAAGAATTCTTAATCCGGACAGACCAGGGATACTCAGTCGGTAGAGCGTCTGATTCAGAACCAACGTGTCTCACGCCTGAACCCTTCTTCTTTCTGAGGCTGATAAATGAGTATAACTGTATGAAAAGAAAACTGGATACCACACACACTGCCCACCACATAGTTGACTTTGCCTTTAACACAAACCACTCATAGCAGATCGAACTGAAATTAAGACGGCGTTCCACCAATGACTTCATGAAGAGTAGGACCCCAGAAATGGCCCATCATAAAAGTGCAGAACCAGCAATATAAAAACTTTCTTTTCTCTTCTTTCGATCCAGACAGACCTCAGCTCATGAACAGAGATAACGGAGTGGATGTATCTGAGGAATCATGGCTAAATTTGTGCAGTGATCTGTCAAACTAGAAAGGCAAATCGCGCTACATCTTGGCACTCTTGACAATATTGTACGAGAATACCGTTTTATATTGTTTGCACCTGACAGACGTTGGTAACGTCAACTCACAGCTAAATCATGCACCAAATAGTTTTGTGTCGTGCATATTATTTGTCAAGCCTTAATACGGTATTCTCTAACAGTCAACGATACACTTCCACTGATCATGTAGTTTATTTTACTCCCAAATCGAAAGTAATTAATCGTCCTATTGCTACAGAAAGAAAGTTTCCAGGAGGAAAAGAAAGGTTTCTGTAACTCTAACATCGAGCTCTGAGGTAGAATCAAAGACCAGAAACAGAACTAAATGGAACTTCCTTGTTTCAATTCAGAGAATATCAACTGTGATTCTGCATTCAGGTATATGAATACCTAAATTTACAGGTTTTTGCGGCATTATTTTGACGAAGTTTCCATGTGTCGTCATCAAGATCACATGAAGGAAGATGTTTCTTTCGTTTCCTGATTACATTCATCAATCTCTGTATGGATTGCATGTTTGTCCTAGATATGGGTCCTACATATTCGTTCAGGGGGTCAACGGCATAGTGGAAAGACTTCACAATGCTTCTGCCAACATTATTTCGAATAACTGTCTTGACTCATGAATTGGTATGAAAAAGCGCGTAATGGGGCATCGAAAGCAATGACAAAAGCGAAAGCCTATTCCTGGTGAAAGTTTGGTAAAATGTTGGAGTCAAATGTTCCTAACGGCCAAAAAACGTACTCCGTCAGAAGATCCACCGCCCTCCAAAATGGAAAGATGGCAGTCTAACTCCTGAGGGAAAAGACTGGACATTTTCTCATCAAGGACGTGAACATGCTTCAGCGATGGAGAGAATAGGAGGAAGAACTACTCAACCCTCAGCAGCCGCAGGAGAACTGGTCCGAAGAGCACCAGACAACGGATATTAGTATTTGAGTAGAGAAGTCATAGCAACTGTCAAAGGCTTGAAAGGCAGTCGATGTAATCCGCAGTAAGGGGCTCAAAGCTATGGAAGAACGAAGCCTGTTGTGGCCAACAGGTTCTTGTTTAACTGCCCTGAGTAAGGGCAACGCACTAGTAGGGTGGAGAGCTGAAGTGGCAGTACCCTATTCAAGAAGGGAGCGCTCCAGTTATCGAACATAACATTTTTGAGCCTTCCGGGAAACGTCTAAGTAAAGGTGTGCCGGCGAATAGCTTATTAAAATCTAAAAGGAGCAGTACTGCTTTAGATCAGGGTGCAACTGCTCTGACCATATCTTCGCTTTAAGACGAATTGCTCAGAAATCGCGGGAGTTCACGCACTCACCCGATTAACATTTGCTTTGTTGTGCTGTAGAAAGCCTATGGTCGAATGCTGTTCGGAAACCTGTGGGCATGCCTGCTGATGAATGGGACGAATGGCAAGTTGCTACGAGCCATCCAGTGGCCATATGGTTACCGCTGACTGAGTCACAGTAAACGGCTTAAGGTAGAGATCTTTCAGCATTGGCACTGTCTGTGGCAGTGAGAGCGACCACTGCATCAATATATGAGATGCGAAGGCGAGAAATTCGCTGTTTACAAACGACCACCTCTTGAATCAGATCACTTGCACTCTGGCAACTGGACAATTGGTGCGACGTGGCCAGCATGCGTGTGAACGCATCTAAAACGAAACTTCTGGTGCTTTCTCGTTCTCCAGATCGTTACGCTGTGCAGATGAACGGAGAAGCCGCGGAGCAGGTGGAGAAGTTCTTGTACCTCTGGGTGACATTTCCTGGTGATGGTAATTTGAGAAAGAGATCGACCGGTGAATCAGGATGGAGAGCGGCGTTCTGCGTGACCTAGCCCGAACCGTTGTAAGAAAGGCGATGCCGAGTTTGGGCTAAGCTGAGTAAGCTGTCAGCGTTCAAGTCGATCTCCATCTAGCCGCTCATCGATGGTAATGATTTGCAGGCCAAGAATAAAGAACTTCGATTCTGGATAGAACGGAATGAACTTGGCTTTCTGAGACGAATCGTGAGGCTGACGTACCTCCACGTCATCTGGACTCAATATGCGTGAAAGAATCTTGGTGCACAACTGCTGTTCTTCTAGAATGAAAAGTCACAGGTTCGATAATTTTGGCACGTTTTGTGAATGCATCGTCTTCGGGGTGTAACGCGGAACGGTTGCAACTTGTCCAACCGACAGAACTCGTCGTGGCGGCCAAAAATGACCTGGGGCAAGTTTTTCCGTCTCCTCTGACTCTGTTGCAGACTCGCATCATCTTTTGCCTAGCTGAATCACTCACAGTGGATCGACAATATCTGAAACGCTGTCTGACGTGCCTGCGTCCGCTACGAAAGATGATAAGCGGTCATCGAAGGTGGAAAACGGATTGCCTTGAATGATTCCCTCTGGTTTTGCAGTTGGATCGTCTCTCTGTTAGACAGATCCGTCTTCAAAGCAAAAAGTGACACTCCATCGCTCATTATTACTGTATTATCAATCGATTGTTAGAAGGGCATGACAGGCCTTTGTAGTTATGGAAAATAACCTCTCATTTCTTCGCCTCTGCTTTTAACACCGGGTTTTTTACGCCTTTGTTGACAATGAGGCGGGTCCATAGGCGACAGCAGCGATCATTCAAAGTTATCAGGCATGGAATTCCAAATGAGATAACGAAATGAAGCATTTTTAACTGAAAGGAAAAATTCTTTTAAATATACTGATGTTCAGAAAATGGTTGGACTGAAAGAATCTGCTTATTCATCTTTTCAGCGATGTCCTGATCCCAAAGAACGAATGGAATCTATGCTATGAGCAAGAGCCTTCTGGAAGGATAAAGAAATCACGTGCACTTCACTTAAAGCGAGGAAAACAGATGATGCTTCAGTGTGCACAATGCAATTAGTTGACAAAGCCCGTTCAGAATGTACACCGTTAATCCACTTTCGGGCATCCATTACTGCTAGAAGCAGAAAGGCGTCAAGGGTGTTCCATACTTATGCAGTTAACCACACTTCAAAACATTGGACTATCGTACAGTACGATGCTTGTGGTTAGTCATTCAGTCAGCTTCGATGACCGGTCGCACATCTAGCAGCGTCATACACTGTCTCGAACTGTTTCTGTCCTGTGCCAGTGTCTGAGCTGCGACAAAAGATATAACCTATGTCTGCAGCAGGTTCCTTCGATACAACTGCCTTGGTCATTCTGGACCACGCCCGGGATCTTCTGTCGACTGAGCAAGTAATAGTTCACAGTGATCAATCATTGCTGCTGTGACTCCTCAGTCTGCAGTGACATCAGCTGTACACTAAAGCTTTCTAATATATTTGACTCGGGCGAAACGTAGGAGCCCATCGGTTCGTCACACAAGCCCGTTTCAGCTGCCTGCGGTCTAGAGTTTTAGTGACGGCTGACGACTCGTGTCTATACGCAAGCAAGAGGATGAGATTGTACGTTAACGATCATGAATGAATCGGGCAGTTTTCACACTGAAAGCTTCAGTTCCGTTTAGGGAGGTGAAATGGAAAATGTTATTCATCATCCGTCGTAAACATTTTTTGTTCTAGAGAGTAAAAGGTTGTTTTCTGCTAAATGGCAGAAGGCATTTCACCAAGCTTTCGTCGATAATTAATTCTGACTATGACGCAAGTCCTATTTCGTGAGTGTGTGATAGAGCACAATTCTTCATGGCCTATTTTCATTGGAATTGCTTCTTCTCATCAACCAACCTTGATTGCCATTATTTTGTTAATCGGCCTGCTGAGGGAATCCATGACAATTCTTCACGATTAAAATAATGCAAGTTAACAAGCTGCCGGATCGCCTACGAGTAAACACATGTAGTGTACATGTTCAGTCGGCATTTGATCCATTACTGTAATCGTAGCTGTCGCAATTTTACGGTTTCAATGTGAAATTATATTTAACAACATTTTCAAATTATAGGTCAAATAAAGCATGATAAAGACAAAATAGTCCTTAAATTGAATGACATTGGACATAGAAAAAAATGCTATCGCATATATTGCTCATATTAATGTGGCGTCGAATCCCTGACATAAAATCATAACCCACCCATTTTCAATAAGTTGAATGAAATTCCACGAACGCTGCTGCATTTTGATATCATAATCAAAGTTGATGTAAAACTGATATACGCCGAGTTCCTTCGGTCAGTGATTAAAATCAGATGATTTCGTGTTCACCGATCGTGTTCCAAGTGGAATTCAACACCTTCGCATCGAGGTTGTAAAACCTCAGCCGCTGGCTATTGAATTTCGCCGTCTACATATGGACAGACTCGTGTAACCCCGGCGTCTTTCGTCATAGAGCGAGGGAGATGTCGGGGTGTTAAGCAAATGTCCGTGTCCTCTGCCAAATTTAAATCAAACAGTCTGACACACCGGCTGAATGGAACCAGTCTCAGCTGTCGTACTTGTTGCTGAAAATGCTTAAATTCACACAATTCATTAAACTCACATATCCGGCAAGAAACACATAGGAATAAATCATACGAGATTCCATGAAACACCTTGAATGAAGCAATGAACTACCGAAGGTGACTCAAATCATGCTGAAAAGAAAGTGTCTTTTCAGTTAACTTGCGTTTACTTACGCTCAACAACTTTCGTAATTCATGGTACAGGGGAATTGCACTAAATTACATGAAATAACAGGTAGTAATGAATTATGACCTGAGCATAAAAACAAATCCAGTAGATTTGCTACAACTCGCAAGTCAGACCAGATACCAGTTTGAAAATAGAGGGAAAAAAGGAAGAGAAAAGTGCATAACCGTTGGAATGTCGGTCTCTCGGATAATCTCATGTTCGGGAGTCATCTGAAGGACCATTCTTTTCATGAAGTTTATGGAAAAACACTGATTTAGGTTTTTACGGCATCAGCAACGAGTTCCTTATTTTAAGCCAGAGGCCACAGATGTGTGCCAAGCACGTCATCTTCAGCTTCTCTCCCACTGAATAGTACTTACTGTCAACCACGAAAGGAAGAAAAATATGTCCCTCCAGCATCGAACAAATGACCTCTAAGTTTTAAGTGTAACTCCCAACTGAGTATGCGGCCATGATCGAGAAAGAAATGCGCAGTTATATTGAGTGCCTTATAACAAAAGAGTAGTGGACTACTTCACAAAAAAATACCGCCAAACAACTATAACAATTTTCATATACGCTAAGTAAGTAAAATTGCCCCTGTGCCAGTCATGCATCAGAATGAGTTGTTTACGTCAGCAGCATGAGTGGTAATCCGCCAATTCCGGTATCATTTTTTTCAGTCCAGATTGGTAAATAATATTTTTTTACTGAATTGCTAAATATGCCTCAGCCATCACAATACTGAGGCAACAGTGTTGTTTTTGCGTATTGTAAACGAAAGCCTAGTAATAGGCCAGTACAACGATGGTATTACCCGCTTAGATTAAACTGAAAATCAGATTCAGTCCATATTGGTATGAGTCCATATCGGCTGAATTGCGAATTAGTTTATTCCTATAACGGTTTGGGGGTGGGGGGATAATCATTCTGTATGGTAGCATATACACGTTACAGAATACGACTGCAGACATCCGCGAGGAACAGAAGGTGGGAACGGAGAAAGACCACGTCATGCAGGTACAGATAACGTAATTAATACTTTATTGTTGCCTAGTATGTTTGGCAGGCGCATTTGAGGAGAAATCCTGCATCTGCACTTCGAGTTGAGCCATACAGCTATCACAGCGAACTACGTTCTCCATGTGGTTGTTGTCGCTGCCCTAAGAATCGAATGGGAGAGGGAAGAATTGGTTATGCAGAGGCGGATCAGTTAGGAAACTGGCTGCATCTGTGGAGGCATTGACAATGAGACTGAATTTCACCTGGGTCCCTCTCGACGACTAGAATAAAGGGACGGTTCCTTACTGTGGCATAACGCGGTGTAATGATTACGGTCCGTTTTGCACTGCCGCAGGTTTCGTCGTGTAAATCCGGTATCGGCAGTTAAAAGGTTATATTTACCCATGGAATCGAAAAGCTGCCATTCTTGGCAGCTGCCCTAGAAGTTTGGAGAATTCAGTTCTTTCCTTTTCTGGAGATTGAAATTTGTTTCATAATTTTTTGGCGGCGATCAAAGACGACCTCGTCAGTAATCGAAGAGGCAAAATTGGCGTGCGATGAGCTTCCGGCAATGGCCATTCTTTAGCTGCCTCCAATGCGCGATTCTCTTGGTAGTCGGCAGAAATCCGCCGTATCCATTCTCGTTAAAAGGCTATTAAGTGAATTGGAAGCAGTGATCACGTGACAGGTCAGCTGCTGAGTGTGGTGGTGGACTGTGCCGGGAAATGGAAATCGAGATCAAAATCGAATTCGAAATCGAAGCCACGATTAGTGTGGCAGAACTGGTGGTAGTGGTCTGCTTTGTCTTCGTTCCATTGCCGTCGGCTGGCCGCAGCGAATGTCTGCCGGAGGGGGTCGAAATCGACATGCGATGGGCAGATACTCAGGCTCAACTCCATTTTGCCCAGTCGCTGGCGTGCAGAAGTATGTTGTCAACGACGGCGGCCACGACCTTCAAGTGAGTCGTGTGTGTGTCTGGCATTGCTCAAGCATCAATTACACTGTGTAGAGCACCGGCTCATCTCGCTTCGGTCGATGATGGCCGCATTGCAGTCTAATTACTGTGCTCCGATTTACGACCACGGGTCACGGCGCGGCTTCTGGCCAGGGTCTCGTTCCCTTGTTTGAGAATCGTCCCTCACCGATGACTGCTGCCTCAGCGACATTCACTAATCTGGACGGACATTTTTTGAGGTTGCAAAAGTGGTGTTCCGCCATGGCCGGTACCAAGCCCGGATGAGAAAGGAGGAGGGTTGGAGACCGTGGCAAGTCTCCGTAAA